GTGTTTGACTTGCTTAGCATTTGGTAAACGTTGGGCCTCATCCAAGAACCGTTCGTACGTACAGATTTGTTCTTAAGTCGTGCGTAGGAGTGATTTAGGAGGATTTGTGGCATTCACCAATTGTCTTGTATTCTAAGATTTTTTTCAGATACGAACAAAATTCATGAGTGGTCCAGACCTGTCTTATATTCTACGTGCAGTCAGTCTGCTGTGTTTGACTTGCTTAGCATTTGGTAAACATTGGGCCTCATCCAAGAACCGTTCGTACGCACAGATTTGTTCTTAAGTCGTGCATACGAGTGATATAGGAGGATTTGTGGCATTCACCAATTGTCTTGTATTCTAAGATTTTTTTCAGATACAAACAAAATTCATGAGTGGTCCAGACCTGTCTTATATTCTACGTGCAGTCAGTCTGCTGTTWACCAGACAGATTTTCTTCACTTATAACTTTACATTTCATTAATTTGACAATATTTCGAGTTGAAGATAAATCACACTCCATAATTATGTTGGCAATAGGCTATTATGTTTGAACTGGAATTATAATTTTAAATGTAATAGTATAGACCAGGGGTGTCAAACTCCAGTCCTCGAGGGCCGCTATCCTGCATGTTTTAGAGGATTTCCAGCTCCAACACACCTGATTCAGTGATTGAATTAACTCTTTAAATTGTGCAGAAGCCTGTTAATTACCCAGCGATCAAAATCAGGTGTGTTGGAGCAAGAAAACCTCTAGAACATGCAGGATAGCGGCCCTCGAGGACAGGAGTTTGACACCCCTGGTATAGACTGACAACATAAATTGATTAAATTAAATCAAATTGCCTATTAATGCTGTTGTATAACACTACAATATTAATATGAAGATCTCAAAAGTATGCATTAATTGAAGTTTGGAGACATTTTAATTAATTAATTAGTTAAATTTTTCAGAAATGCATCTGACACCACTTGCGACGGAGCAGGACTAGAGAGATATGATTATGATTTAGTTTTTTATTTCTGTGACTGTACGACACACGGGAGACACAATATTAGCAGCAGTCATCATTTCATTCCTTGGGTTTAGCAGCTCCTATAATTCCACAGCTGACGCTGATAAAAATGACAGATTCTCTTTTCTGGATCTCTGAGAGCAGGACTTCAATCTACGAACTCGTGAAGTTCTTCCTTTTACTTTGTGATGTCATTTATGAATGGAAATTTCCTGGTATGTGGGGCAGGAACCATAGCCGGTGTTTTTTGGGGTGGTAATTATGCTGATCTCCTCTCCCCATACGCGAGCGCCTGATATGCATTCATCAGTTTATGCTGCTCATTTACACACTTTTCCTGGAGATAGAAGAGTTTTTTGAATCAGACGTGACATGTTTGTACGAACCCTTCGTACAAACAAAAGTAAGATAAATTTAGGATTACAATACAAACATGTTCTTGCATGAGGCCAATTGTTTGACTGAGTTCTACAAATGTTGAACTTGTAGCACACAGTGAGTCTCTTCAAATTTTCAATATGCGTACCCAAGTATGATGACAGGTACCGTAGTTTCTGTCTTCCACTAATAGCATTCAGCATTGTCTTTCTCAGCTTCAGTAAAAAAAAAAAAAAAAACAGTAAAATTCTAGCATTTGTTTTATTTTTCCAAAACAAGTTAGAATGTGGACTCCTCTGACCACAAGACACATGTCTATGGTCATCTCAGATTTAGTCTTTGCCCAGACAACCCTCAAAATTTTCTAAGGAAACTAACTTTCTGGTTTCCTCTTTGTCCTCCTTCTATTCCATACCATTTTATTTCTGGACATGACATCTGACTGTACTGAGTGATGAGGTACAGTATTGCATGGCTAAACTAACCGCTATGTGATGACAATTTGTGGTGCAATATCACCTAATGATTCAAAAGTTTAGCATTTGTCCTGTATGCACTGATTCTTTAAGAAGTTCTGAATCTTTTAACAAGCCATTTATTTAGTCCAAGCAGTTGTTGCTTGACTATTTTTATATATATTTATTTGCATTTGTTACGTTTTATGATGATTTAAAATGATTTGCTAAGAACAGGTACTTACAAACATCACTGGACCTTGAACTTTTTAATTCCAGTCTTAAACTGATCTTTTGGACTTTACCTCAGATTTTGATGCACAAAAAATAAATTTTGTTAATTATTTGGGCAGATATAGTCTAAGATTTTTACAGGAAGTGCTCCAGAATGTCTCTAAATTGCTAGGATTATCAACAATTTCTATTTGTTTTTGCAAGCAATCAAAAAATTCTGTGCAAATGAGTTGTAATCAGGTATTGAATACAATGTAAAAAAAATATAAAGAATGTAAAGAATATTTTAAAGTAAATGCAGCCAACTCACTTTAGTATTTCTATGTTGTTATAGATATGATTTATTTATCAAAGAAAAAAGTTAATTGTAATGTTGCATTTAAACTAAAAAGTGTGCGTATGTGTGTTTTGTGGGACATCTTGAGGCTTTTTACATTTAATCATTCATGAAGCTGTCATTTAATCCAAGTCCGGCTAAAGGAAAAAATAAATAAATWAATTAAAAAAGAAACTTGGTCCTACTTGTGCATGTGTAAAGGTATGATAGCAAAAAATAATCAAGTTCTTAGCAAATCATAGTCATTTTTGCACCAATATACAAACAACTGTGCAAAAAATGTTTACATCAGCTAATAAAATGTATGCAACTTTGTTTGATTTGTTATTTCATTTACCCAAACCTTAATAGTCTAATGGTTTTATAAAGAATATTTTCACAGTAAATTTAACWACAATATTTAGTTATAGAAACTAGTCTTATGTTGTGAATGTTATACAGTGAGTTATACCCACATGTAGTGTAGGCATGTGGTAGCAATTATGCCATGGAAGAGAACAAAGATGATGTTTTATGCACTACTTAAATCCATTTCATCACAGTCAATGACAAATAATATTGCCCTTGTCAAAATCTAAATGGCAATGATGAATTTAAGATGCCTTGCCAGTTTTGGAAGTAGTTGCCAAGTCTGTAGTGCATTGGATAAGGTTAAGTTCTTTTTGAATAAACATTTCTCTTTTTTTTCTCTTGGAATAGTTTTAGCTCAATACAAACATAGAATGCTGTGTGTAGGATTTTTGTTGCACTAGTGGAAAAATGAGCTCATAACCCACAAAAAAGAAAAAAAAAAGAAAAAAACATTTCCAATCATGACATTCAAGATTGCCAAGATATATGGAGAAAGCAAAAATGATAAACAACAAAAGAAAATGTTAAGAGACTTTTGCATGAGCCATTAAAGCTAGTGACTGATGTCTACTTACTGTGGCAGTAATGAGTGGACCATGGAGTTGTGCGTAGAGCAATGCTTCGTCAAAATGCCCCCTGACCCCAAGAGTGGCTAACTTCAGGTTGTGGTGCCCTGCCACTGCAGAAGTTAGTTGCTCCAACAAGTGGGTATATTTCCTCCAGGGCTGATCCAGCTCTGACACACTAGCTAAGCAGCCTCTCATTACGTTTAGACAGTAGCCCACACAGGGCTTGATCAATGTCAGGCCTCGGCAGTGGGAGCAGAATGCCATCTTCATTAGGTTCTTTACACACTCCCTGCTCAAATTGGCATGTTCTGTTGCATTCATAACTTCCACACCTTTCTTCAAGGCGATAACCAGTTGTCGGCCAGCCACCAGTGCCCCAGCCAGCTCCTGAGCCATGACGGCTGGATGATGTCCAAAAGGATTGACGTCCTGTCTGATCATTCGGAGGCAGTCGCCCGTTACGCTGCCTGTCGTTACGCTCCCTTCGAAGTCTGGATTAATTAGCCGTGTATAGACAAACGGGAAGATGTTGTTGAAAAATCTTTGTACTGTTGCCTCCACAGAAACATTGGCCCCACGGAAATATAGGGAGAGAGAGGAAAACAGTTCATTCACATGGGGCAAGGCATGACGAGACAGGGACGAGTAGGAGTCCTCCAACAAAGAACTAAGATGGCCTTGAGAGAGGGAGAGGAGGTACTGGAACATGTCTGCAGAGAGAGAAAGAAAAAAAACAAATAAAAATAAAATAAGAGATAGAGAATAAAATAAAACACATWTTACTTTTAATCATCAATGACTCATAGTGGGACTTGAAATATATATATATATATATTTTAAGTGAGGCTTTTACAGCTTTTTGCTGCAGGTAAGTCACTGACTGCTGATGATTATTTCATGAAACACTTCAAAAAATATTGAACTGTCTCTTTAAAATATGGAAAGCAAATGCAAATGTATTCCTAAGCCATACAACTTTCCCTATATGTAAATGCAGAAATAACTTTAATTAATGCAAACCATTATTAAACCAAATACTCTTGAGCCATGTTAACATCTTAAACTTTGGGCCCATAACYGACTTCAGAATGATTTGCCAGGTGAAATGAGTTGGCAAAAACAGACTATACATTCCTAAAATGTGCTGCATCATTTAACCATTCACTGCCATCCAAATATTTTGTCACATATGTCAGTTCATGAACAGTATGTTTATTATGTTCATAAACTATTTGGAATTTTAGTGAAACATGTTTGAGTCAGCTAACATATACAGGTAGGTGCTTCATTTAACCTAATGTGGTGTTCAGGGGAAAATAAATCACTGTCACACTACTCATAGGTTTTAGATTTGTTGAAGTCRTTGGCAACACAATATGATCACATCCCAAAAAAAGTGCTAACTGATGCTTTATTTTTTTTTCCTTCAGCATAGGAGCTTCAGAATTTTTTGCTGTTTAGCTCTGATGAAGGGCTATCCAACGAGCCCACAATGAGCCCCCCACACCTGAAAAGGGGGTTTCTGGACATAAAAAAAGTTTATGACTCTAAAAAACTATTCAACATACATGTAGTGGCTTCCGATGTTTTTGTTGTTGTTGTTTAGCTCTGATGAATGATYCATTGGGCCCCCCATCCCATTTGAAAAGAGGGTGTCTGAACATACAAAAATGCTTATAACTCAAAAACTATTCAACTGAGCTTTGTTTGTTGTTGTTTTYTTTAGTTCTGATGAGGGCTGTCCATACAAACAATGAGCACCCCCTCCAGACAACAACCCAAAACAATAAATCTGTTCTGCGTTCAGGTGCACTGGTGCTTTGCTTGGGGTCATATATGCTACCACTATGCTGTATCTAGTTTGTATCCAGAGTTCATTCTTTTTTTTTACATCAAGAACCTGCATTAACAGTTGAAGAGTGTTGGGCAAACTGTTTTTCTGAACACCTCCCACCGCCCCCCACTCTGCAAGTTACATTTCACAGTTTGAGCCTGATTATTCCCGTCACTGTCACCTTGAACTGTGCCTGTGCACATCAGGGAAGAAAATGTAAAATAAATGCATCTTAATGGAAAAATCTGGTCATTCACTTAGTTCAGGTACTCAGCTGACCTCATTTATGGGTACATAATGTCACTGAACCTAGACTTGACCAAATGAATCAACCCCAGACCATAACGCCTAAAGTTAAATCCAGGTGGTGACTTATTTTTGGCAGGGCAGTATGTTTGGATTACTCCCCCACATTTCACTGCTCACTGACATAATTTACAGTTACGGTCACTATGACTCTATTAGAAAAATATGTGAATGGGTTATTTTACATTACAATTTAAAATGACCCGATAAGAATCTTACTGATCAGTACTTAAGTTGTCTCATCTTTTGAAAGGCTAGACCCTTCATAACCCATCCACTCAGTATTAAATTGCTGTTATATATATATATATTTTTTTTCTCTCTTCTACATGCATGTAAGTTTTTGTATGCATGTGCTGGATGCAACACTCCTCTCTAGGGTGTGATGTAAGCTTAAAAGCATGACAGGACATGAATGAGCAGCAACAACTGTACAGAAACTGAGACCTGAGAATGAGGGTGCCAGGACACACAGTATCCCCACTACAACTACAAATGCACGCATAGACATACACACACCTAAAATAGGCATAAACCTGCATTGCCTGTCCGTGCTACATGTTGCACTGCGAGCTTACTGAACAGGACAGATCCCACGATTTGGATTTGTTTGAAGTAAATTCCGTCACGCTGCTTCATGTTAATATCATCCTAATTATTTAAAAGTTTATATAATGAGACCTACATTAAGACACGGCAATTGTTACCAAATGAGTGCATGTGCTGTTGTGTTGTTGTTGTGTGTGTGCAAGGACGCGTGTGTGTGATTGCATGTGTCCAGCCCCTCCCAGCTTACAGACAGAAGGATAACAACAGTCATGTCCCTGCGAACAGCTGCACTAATATGAGCACTGTCTGTGACACACAGGAACTCCCTGCTTGCCAGTAAAACAGCACCTCATTTGTAAAGCTTCCAAAAACACTATCAAAACATGCTCCTTCAAATGCAAAAAATATATTAATAATTGTACCCCTCAAAATAGCATTTGAAAGGTGTAAAACTTTGTAAAATGAAGTGAGAACAAATGGTCAGTAGAGTAGTAAGGGACACACACACACACAAACTCACAAGTGAGCTTGACTGAAAGATGTCAGAAAGATCTCCACAGATGTACAAGTGTAAAAGGGACCAAAATAGTCCACTTTACGCCCAAAAATGAGAGGGTTGAGCAAAAAAATCAAGTTGTAAAGATGCCTTTTCACAGTTCTACGTTTTTTGTAGTGTAGCCTTTGGTGATTTAAAGTTTGCCAGTGTCCCAGACAGTCAAGGGTGCAAGGGTCAATTTACAGAAAATTYACACCACAAGCTGTAACCACTCAAGAAATGTTACATTTGGATATAAAATAATGAAGTTCAGAATTTATTTTCTCTCTCTCTTTCAGTCAGTGTCTACATTTTTAAAAAATAGCTAAGATTTAAAAAAATGCTTAACATTTATTTAAAATTCTGAGCCCCAAAGCTGCTTTGGTTTTTGTTTAAAAAAGGTACTTTCTTTACCCCAACAGAAATAAATATGGAAAAAATGGATTGAGTGAAGGCCAGAGAAAATAGAAGAAAAAAAACAGCTAAACTTTAAACAAAGAAAAACAACTACTGTACAAGTCGACTCCACCTTGTGAACATGCTAACATCTGGATTCATTTGGCTTTTGGCCCAGAGCACTTCCCTGTCTCTCCATGGCTTCTGCACTTTGGACGGACATGTTTGTTACTTCAAAGTTGCTGTTGTTTTTCCCTCTGATACACCAAAGAAACTAACCGAGAATGGTCGGTTCTGGCTACAAGTTTTGCTGCAGAGGAAATTCATGAGGTCATGTGCCTGTGGGTTTCTGAGTGAATAACACCTGTAACTCACACCTGTTCACTCAAAGTGCCAGTGTTACCAAGGCCATCCCTCAGTTTACTGGTGTCACACTGTGATGTACCTTTTCTGCTGTAAATTTGCTCATATAAAGTTTTTAGATCTTTCTCAGCAACCACCAGATCAGTGCAAGTTGATGTACTATGGATCCACAAATGCACTCCATCTCCCCAGCAGATATTCAATTTGATGACAATATTGGCCTATCAGCAAAATAAATAAATTTAAAAAATCGAAATAAGTGGCTTATAACTGTATTCTGGTTTTGCGCACTTTGGAAGCTAAAACTTTGTGTCACCACTTGACATTTAAAAGCAATACAGAAACTTTACCTATTCCTTCACACATCAACTTAAGTYATATATCAAACTCAGTTATTTTGGTCATATTGTTTCTTATGATTAAGCAAAATTTTGTCACTAATCAAAAGGTTATCTCCACCTCGTGGTACTACAACACAGGCCAACATATTAAGGAGGAGGAGGACGAGGGTGATTGTGCAAAACCATATTTTTGAGCTTTATGTCATGTTATATTGTTATTCTCTCAGCAAAAAATATACCCTGAGTGTTGCTTTGATTCATTCATGCATGTCTGAGAAATCCTCAAATCATCTATGGTAGGCATTTGGAGATGCTTGCTGGTACAAAGAMCCACTTATTTACACAAAGCTCCTCCCTGGAGCTCAGTCCCCAGCTGAGCCCCCGCCCACAGAGCACCCCTCAGATCAGGTTCAACTGTATCCTGGGTTGCTAGTTTCCAAAACTAAAATCTTATAATGTTGTTTATTTTCTTTAATTATTTTTCCCCCATAAATAAATACAATGCTTCTACAAAAGGTTTTAAACAGCATGAAGCATTGTCGTGAAGATATGCTACAGTGACAGTGTCAGAAATGGTAGGAGGTTCTTAAAGAAACTGAGGCCAATTTCAAAATGTTTAGATAAATGATGATGCAAAGTCTAATTATTATTTTTTTATTTTTATATACAGCATTTTATGACAACTAAATGTAACATAGTCACTTCATTGTTGACTTGCATGTGCCTGGAAAAGCATAATACCCCACTTGTAAACTTATCCAAAAGTAGCTTTGTTTGTTTTATTATAATTATCTTTGCCAGAAATTTATTTTGATTTGATTGTTTTCTACAACCACAAAAAATATATTGGGCCAGATGCATTTCCTATACGCCGTTGTTGTCGTCAGTACTGCTTTTTTTTCTGTCCATATTGCTCATTGGAACTGAAAGTTGGCTGGATTGTGGTAACTTCACATGAATCTGTTAAATTAAACTTTCATGTAAGCCCAAAACACTAAAATAAAATAAATGAAC